GATTGTGCGGGCTTTGGCTGCCCGCTGAAACACATTCGGAGCGTTCCAAGTGCAACCGTGCGCGCGTGGTCTAGTGGTTAGCGCGGTAGGCTCGTGAGTTGATGCAGGTGTAGGTTCGAGTCTTTTCGTGTTTTTCAGTTTTGCAATGCCTCAATAAACCTTCTTTCGCATCTTCGAGCTGACTGAACGCCCTTACTTTTCAAAAAATGTGGAAGTTTGGAAAAAATGATTACTATTTGCGCTGAAACATATCCAATAATCATAATTCGAGTAAATCTCGAAAAAGTTTAATTGAAGCAGTGCAAATTTAAAACACAAAATGATTTGAACCTACACCTGCATCAAGTTATGAGGTTATCAGACTAACCACTAGACAATAACGTGGCGCCCGTAGAGGCCGTTCCGGTGACCATACCCTTGGGCGGCCAAAGTTGGCGCGAAATTCCTCCATAACTTCTTTCAGAAAAACGATTAGCAGAAACGGAAGTCAGATTCGGAATCAGCGTTCCAAGACGTGTGATGTTATACATCTCATCTCAAAAAGCCACGGACATTGAGTATCGTTCCCTTGTTAGTAGCGGGTTATCCCAAAAATAAATCCTATCTCTAAATAAATCAACTGATTCATAAGCTGTTTTTGTCTTAAGGTAACATTTGATAGAGCGAAGCAAGCTTTACAAAATGACTACCAAAAATCCGCAGTTGTAAACCAGGTAAAGTTTGGGGCTATAGTCGAAAAAATTCATCCCTGGAAATTTGATTTTGCAAAAAAAAATCCTAAGGTCCTCCAATTTGGTCATCATACAAAAGACACATAATAATACTCAAAAAGCTTTTGCGAGAAAAAAATAGTCTAAAATGGCAAACCTCCGCCCCCAGCTCCTCCTACACTTGTGTTGTATACTGCAATTACTGAGTGTAAAATTCAATTTTTTTAAATATTAAAATTCCGAAGTTCTACCGTTGCATGCACCTGGTAATCGAAAAATCCCAAGTTTAACATTGAAAAAAAAACTCGAAAAAAGTGAACTTTTGCATTTTCGGGTTGCCTTTATTTCTTTCTGAGCCTCGGAAAAAATCCGCCAGTGCATTTTGCAAGTGCAGTTTTTTGTAGTATTATGTGTCCACTGTATAATGATCAAGTCGGAGGCTTGTAGGAATTCACTGCAAGGACCGATTTTTGGGGTAAGAAAATTGACTTTTGGCTTTCAACTTTACCTAGATCACGATTTAGGCGAGTTTTTGGCGGTCATTCTGTAGAGCTTGCTTCGCTCTATGGAATGATACCCTAAGTCTGCTAGGAAAACAAAAACAGCTTAATTTATTCAAAGAGGAGTTCAATGTGGGACAACTTAATATATTATCGTTACACCATAAGATTTGAAAAAGATGATTCTCACAAGGAAAGGAAACTTGATGACCGTGGCCTTTTGCAGTGAGGTGTAGAACATTAGATGCGCTTGGAATGCTGATTCCAAATCTTTGTTCTATATTTGCTGTGCTTCTCTCTGAACAAAGTTGTAAACTTTTATATAAATCTAGGCAGTGAGAATTGTCAATATTCAGAATTTTTAGACTTGGATATATAGGAAACAGTTATGTTGAGCTTAGCGTAAAACTTTGTTTCATTTGGACGCAATCCATACAACTATTTTGTAGTTCGTAAATGACCATTCAAACGATATTGGTGAATCATCAAAACAGTACAAATTTTGGTGGCAAGAAATGTTCATAACCTCTTGCAGAAGAGCGCACAGCAGATTCAAAACATATCTGGAATCAGCGCTCCAAAATGCATTCAGTGTGTACGTTCCATTTCAAAAAGCCACGGACACCAGACTTCCCTTGTCAGTTGCATGACGCCTCAGTGGACACCGATATTGCAAGTGAAGTATACCGATAAAGCAAAGCAAGCTCTACAATTTATACTTCTGCATTAGCTTTGCTCTGCCTTAGATACAAAACCGATCTAAAAAAATTCTGGATGTCACTAACATTTGAGTATTATTTTGTCCAATAAAATTCAATCTGAATCTCTCACGCGTTCACGCGTATGCACATACACCTTCGATAATCCAGAGATAAAGCCAGAAAAGTGAAGGTTGCTCAAAGAAACTTAGGAGAGAGATGCAAACTAAAGAGTAGAGGCAAAGAAAACCGAGCAAAAATGCTGCATTAAGTTCAAATTCTTTTTTGGCAGTACTTGAATTGCATGTTTTCGTCCGATCCGGTGCTACTCGATTGAAACAAGGAAACGCTTAGTTTTTTTGCAGTTATCTATCACAGGTCGGAAATGGCTATTGCCAAGAACAAATAAACAGGGAGGACTACTCAATTATGGCGAGCACCTGCCGACCACCCACGGACGACGCCACGCCCATCCCGAGGGCGCGCCGGTAAGTGCCCGATAAGCGCCCGACAATGCCCACGGGTGACCCGATAAGCGTCCGAATAATACCATAGGGTGGCCCGACAAGCGCCCGGTAAATGTGCGATTCGCACCCGCGGGTGGCCCGATATGCATCCTGTACTCGAATTACGAAAAATTTTGAGAAGCCGTCTCCACTTCCGGTTTGGCATAAATGCCACAATCTACATAGAAATAGAGAGTGATGTTCACACCCCTCCCCATCGACGCTCCAATATTAACCACAATCGAGGACTCCATTTGTGTCATCCAAGAGACATTCGACGACCAGAACTTGGCTTGTCCTTGCGATTTGATGTGGAGGATAGCTGTATCACTGCGCCGTATCTCACGCAAGTAACGTTTCCTCTTACAGCGTGTAGGAATTGCGGCATCCAGCAAGGTCCGGGGCTCGCCAGATTCGTTCTGTCGGGAAGTGGCCTAAAGGGCCGAGGCTTCCCCGAAAACTACATATGCGGGGAGTCCTGTAAGGGCCGAGGCTCACCCGTGTGGTTTTTCCTGGGCCGCGGGTGTTCCGATAAAATATTTGAGGCCCGCGGCCTTTCCGTAATGATAACATTGGGCCGCGGGTCGCCAAGCAAATAAATCTAGGGCCGCGGTCGGTCAGTGCAAGAATTTGACGCCCGCGCACCGCCGAAGGACACCGTTAGGGGCCGCGGGTGCTCGCAATAATTGTCTGAGTAGCTACAAAAACCAAAGTTTTGTTTTTTTGAGTCAAAATGCACGCTAATGCCCTAATTTTGGAGCGTCTGGGTCCCCTCTTGTCGTTTCTGCTTCCGGCGATGTGCCTGTATAGGAAGCAAGATCTATCGTATGCATGAAGAAACCGCCTGAGAAGAAACCGACTTGAAAGAAAAACAAGAGATATTTAGAAACGCGGTTTCTTCCAGATTCCTCGTAGCGGCAAGTGAAGGCGCAGACGAGCCGAGGATAAACAGCAGAGCCGACTAGGCGGCTTTGGTCGTAGCTCTTCGCATGTTTTCAACAAAATCCTGCAAGTATGTCAGTTTGTTTGCAATGACACGACGAGAAGCATTAAAAACTCGTAGACGTTAAAAATCACTCCTTAACGAAATATACCAGCACTTTTGCGCGCGACTCTTTGCGCAAGATTTAGGCGCAGCTTCTCGTTTTGATCGATGTTCAACAGCTTTCTGGACTTTTGAAACTTATTCCTAGTTTTAAGGAAGGTTAGTTGAAAAACGTTGCCTTCATTTCCAGGGACATTTGCACGAAAACCTTATTTTAGCACGAAAAGGCTACAAAACACCATTCTTTTGAAGGTTTTGATGGGATATTATTGAGATATTGTTCATGTACTCCTTCATTCACAATCATATTTAGTTATGAGCTTAACATTCGGAGTAAAACCCCGGATGACTTCTATTTCTTGAAGGTGAAGGTGGTGTTCTCTTATATATCGCTCAGAGTGAAGGTTAGCAGACTACATGGCTCCATGTCTCAAGGAGATGTGCGCACATCAGACACTTACACATAACCTTATTCAACTGGCTTAGCTTCAGCAGGGCGGGGCTTTGTGGCCTAATTGAGGCCGCTCGCGCCCCGACGCACCTGCGTCTCTCTCGCACGGTGCTCTCTGATCATTACCTGGCCTTAATTAGGTCGCGAAGCCCCGCCTTCCCGAAGCCAAGCCGGTTGAATCAAATGGCACCGCTGCTGATTTTTTTCCTTGGCTGTCAGAAGAACAAAAATTCTCATGCTTTTACCAAAGTGCTATTGCCATGTAAGTTATTGTACACTGTAAACTTTTTTATGTGCAACCGTGAAACAGCAGAGTATCACTTTGGTAAAAGCATGCAAACTTCGTTTTCGATCAGAAGTGTATATGCGAGAGCGAATGAGAGTTTCGTAAGATCTTACTGAACAAAGGTGAAATTATGCAAAAATATTTGAGCATCGAGTTATGCAAAAATATTTGAGCATCAAGAACTTCTTAAAAGCTTCTTAGATTTTGGTTTCAAACTTTAGGTGAATCAAAGCTAGTGCGAAAGTATAAACGCGATATTGTAGAGCTTGAGCTCTATGGAATGGTATCTTGGTGTCTACTTGTCATTGCAAATAGTAGATGCTGCTTCATATCATTGTTGATCCGTCCGTGCGAATCGCAGAAAATGCAATATTACAAATTTCTGAAGATGGTGAGATAGAACCTTTCAATCTGAAATCTTAAACAGCTGTGCAAGTAATAGTACCAGTCAAACTAAGTGTAACACTGATAGAACTTTGCTTACAGTTCTTGTAGTCTATCAAACTTTCGGAACAGTCACAAGTTCAGAAGAAACTGAGAGTTAAATGTCGCTATGGTTGTTTCTCAGTTTGTGGGAAAAGAACGCTCAAAATTCAGTTCCTGCTGCAATCAGAATATAACAGAAGAGAAAAAAAATTATAGAATTCATCATTGCCTAACATGATTGATGGACTCGTAATGCACTAGTGGAGAACAGGAAGTGCACCAACAATCTCAGGTTTGAATCTAGATAATGATCTAATAATTGAATCTCAATAATCTAGATTATCACATACATCGAGAGCCATTGAAGCAAATATTTATTGTCAATATTTCCTACAACTTTGTTCGCACTAATTCATTCTCGGTCGCGCATATCTCGTTGTGCGTCGACTATATCACACCGGATATCCTTCAGGGTTTTGCGATAAGCATCGAGTTCACCCGTAGATCTAAAACAAGCTTATTGTAGACATGCAGACAGAAGCTCGGAGCCATTCGTGGAGCATTGCAAATCTTTAGAACCTCCGGGAGGCGTCTTAACCATTGAAGCTGCCAGAGGGCGCTGCGTGGAGCGGCCTGCTCGCGGTGACGTCACAAAAAGCCTAGGTACGGACTTTCGGGGCATTGAGAAGAAGGCCTCGGAAGTCTCAGAAATTTGCAGAACCATTAGGAATTTTTAGGCGTTCAACACCTCCTCGCCAACTAGTCCGCAGCCATTTCGTTACGTTGATATGCAGCTTACGCATTTTTAAAATAGGTTGTTGTGGTTTCAACTTGCTCAAATGGTTTCTCAATTTCCGCATTTTCGTGTTGTTCATTCGCATTTTTGGTTTTTACATTGCTTTAAACTCTTCTTCTTTACAGGTAAAACGTGCGTATGCACCTTCAAATCACCTTCAACTATAATTTCATCCACTTCTTTATCACTTTGTAATTTGTGAGGCAGTTGCCTTTTATTTCACACCAGTGCGTCACCTCTGCTTCGCAGAGGCTCGCACTGGCCCTATTTTCTGTATGCCTTACTCATTCCCGCATAATAATGACATTTAAACTCACCGCGCTATGTAGGCTATCACGAATAATTCGTAAACAACTACTCATTCGTAGACGTTTTCCATGTGGGATCGGTATTTTCGCGTGGATAAAATCTTTCCCAGAAGAACAGATGCAAATTCGAATAGGTTTTTGGAATTTTTATGGCTTGACAGTCGCCGTAAGGACAATAAACATAGTGGGCTACATCTCTGTGCAAAAATCTTCTCAAATGATCAGGTAAAATCTTGAAAAATTGACCGTTTACACAGCGAATGCTTTTTGGCGCTGTTTTCGTAAAGTAGTAGGCTTTTCATTACTTTTTTAGGCTAACGTCCATGGCTTGCACAATAGCTTGTCAAATTATCCTTAACTCTGCAAAAATTAGTACTACGGACCCAAATTTGCTGGCCAGAAGCCAAGTGGATCCGTTTGACGCGCAATTTTCAATGGATCCACTCAACGGATCCGCTCATGCTTTCGCATAGTGAGCTTTCATGCTGGTAGCGTGCGCTGTGCAAAATTTGGGCTCAGGACGTTGGCTGGAACACGCTCTACGAATTTCGTGACAGACAGAGATTCACACACACACACACAGACAAACGTAAACAACCCTTAGCCCGTTATTATAAGTTACTAGCTGGCTTACCCGGCTCCGCCGTATCCGGACCAAACTTGGCACACATACACTTCGGGCCCCGGCGGGTGTCACAGTCCACTTTTCGTTATCGATCGATGTCGATTTTACCGATTTTTATCGATTTTTTTGCAGAGTTCACCTACAGGGCTAGGAGTTGGCACAGGGGGGAAGTGAGCATGGGGATTCCGAATACAATATTAGTTTTCAAGATCGTCCATTACTTTTATCGATAATCCTGAAAACCAATATTGTATTCGGAATCCCCATGCTCGATTACCCCCCTGTGCCAACTCCCAGCCCCGTAGGTGAACCCAGCAAAAAAATCGATAAAAATTGATAAAATCGATATCGATCGATGACGAAAAGTAGCCTATGACACCCGCCGGGGCTCGTAGTGTATGTGTGCCAAGTTTGGTCCGGATCGGTTCAGAAATGGAATTTTCTATTCGGAACATACGTACAGACAGACAGACAGACAGAAAGACATACAGACAGACATACATACAAACAGACATTCAGCTTTATATATAAGATGATACTACTTTTTCCAGTGTGAGATTTTAGTGCGGTTGCACATTGCCATCACAAGCGGGATAAAATAAACTTACAAGGGAGGTCGAATCAGTCGAAGTGGCCTTTCCAAATGGGTCATATACCATTTTGAAGAGCGTTGAACGCTGATTCCGAATCTGCCTTCATTATCTGCCGAGCGCTTCTGGACGTCGAGTTATAAAATTTTTTTGGAGCAAAAAATGAACTCAGAATTCAAGTAAAATTAACTATTACGGACTTTTCAGCGCCTAAATAGAGCAACATGTAGTATGAGTGTTTTGGACAGAAGGTATCCTTTGTAATGGAGTGCTCTGATAACCAACTTCGGACCATTTGAGCAATTCTGACGAATTTTGCTCTAATTACGCATTAAATTTTTCAACCAAAGAAACGCTCATAACTCAGCGTCCAGAGGCGCTCGGCAGATAACGAAGACAGATTCGGAATCAGCGTTGCATGCTCTATAAAATAGTATGCATTTCGTATGGAAACGCCACTTCGACCAAGTATCCTTCCCTTGTTAGACTAAACTACAAAACATTTTGTCGGAGAAGGTAATTCTTTCTATTCGCTATCAGAAATGAGATTCCGCTTTTGTTTTACCACTGTTTTCTCCTGCCTCTCAACATCTATATGTCAATTTAGATTCAGTGCGGTTGCACTCTGCCGCTGCGAACAGGATAGGATGAGCTTCAACGCATCTTCGGAAAGTATCGTCGGAAATGGTGATTCTTTTGCTACGCAGTTACACATGCTCACTCATCGATAAATTCCGTTGTATTAGGTATGTGACACTAAGCCATTCGGATCACGCTATCGTATTCAGTTTGATGGCTCCCCTTTGCTCAAGTGCCAGCATTTGACTTTTTGGCTTTGATCTACAGTTTAGTGCAAGTGATTAGGACTATTTAAACGAAAGTTTGTTCATAAAGGATATTCGTCGACGACTGCCCCGTTTAGTGCATTTACACCACCGCGGTCGTGCCTCGTTGGGGCCTTTCCAGCTTGACAGTACGCTGCAGCGCGCCGGGACTTCATAGCTCGCAACAACACTGTCCTTTAGCCTCTTTGGTTGATTTAAGTATTTCGCATCGTTTTTTCTTCTTATTTTTCATTTCAGGCAATCAACCGTTCTATGTCTACGTGAGACCATCGTCGCGAGTAAAAAGAAAAAAAAGACCTTATTTGTAGTTGCAGTGGTGGATGTCATAGCTATGATTGGGATTGCATATTTTCTTCAGTGTTTTACAATGATTTGATATGTTTCCTGGGACATACCACTGAACTGATTACTCCAACACTCCTACATCAAGGACACCATGTAGGAGTGTTGAAATAACATTAAAGTGGCCTCATCTAAGGAAACTCCATGATACCACCACTGTTTATGGACAAAGCACACCCTTTCATCCAACTTTACCCGAGGAGATGTTCACGTTACGAAAAAGAATGTTTGGTGGGTGAAAAGGGAGAGGAATTCAAGAAATGTGTTCTAAACAAATTTTTTCCTTACCTCTCAGTATTCATCAAAGTAGAACGTAGGACATTTGAACATCGAGAACCTAAGAAAAAGGGAAAACGAATGACTGACTGAAATACGTAAACTAAGAAGAAAAAACGATGTGAAATACTTGAATCAACAAAAGAGGCTAAAGGACAGTGTTGCTGCGAGCTACGAAGTCCCGGCGCGCTGCAGCGTACGTCAAGCTGGAAAGGCTCCAAAGAGGCACGCCTGCGGTGGTGTAAATGCACTAAACGGGGCAGTCGTCGACGAATATCCTTTACAATACCGCTCACAGAATGTGCAAAATTTCCGTAAATGTCGCAGAATTCCGAGAATTCCGCGAAGGTTCGCGAAATTCCGGGAATTTTGCGACATTCCCGGAATTTCGCGACATTCCCGAAATTTCGCGAAATTCATGTAAACCACGCAAATTACGCAGGGCCATAACTTCGTTCCGAATGAGTATATTCAAAATCCGAAAACAGCATTGTATTCAGCTCGTCAAGGCGAATCTTTTGGTATACAGGTTGTCTCCAATATCCTCTTTTCAATAATCTTGAATCTGCATGCGGACGCCTTTTCGCGTGGGTGTAACGCAACAAGCATCACACAGAGGAGACTGCGGCGAGTACCCTCCGATAGTACTCTTTCAGTAGATTATTATGCGCTAAACAGCAACCGAAGACTCTCTTTTAAAAGAGATAGAAGAGCTGATAAACTCTGGAAAAATCAAGCTGTTCCAAGTTCTACTAGCCGTAACTTCCTTCAGAATGAACATCTTCGAAATCCGAAAACATTATTGTGTTCAGCTCGTTAAGGCGAATCTTTCGGTTTACAGCATGTCCTTGAAATTCCATTTCCAATTTTTTCAAAATTTTCTGCGCGCGTATATTCGCAAGGTCGCAACGCAGCGCACATCAAACATAAAAGACTCCAATAAGCACTCTTGGATTGTGCTGCTCCCGCAGATTACCGAGCGCTAAAAACGAACTGGAGAATCTTTTTCGAAAAAGATAGAAGAGCTGGTGAATTCTGGAAAAATCGTGTCGTGTCAAATTTTGCCCATTGTAACCCTAAAATGGGAAGCTCTCCTGCTAAGCAGGTGTGCTTTTCGTAATCAGCAGGTCAGATAACCTCTTTGAGCGAAGTTTCCTTATAATCCAAGATCATCGACATTTTGACCAAAACCCATCGGCGAGCTTCAGGGCGTAGAACGAGAAAAAATCAAATCACCCGAATTTCTTTGAAAACTTGCTCATAGAGGTTATCTGACCTGCTGATTACGAAAAGCACATCTGCTTAGCAGGAGAGCTTCCCATTTTAGGGTTACAGTAGGCAAAATTTGACACAACACGATTTTTCCAGAATTCACCAGCTCTTCTATCTTTTTCGAAAAAGATTCTCCAGTTCGTTTTCAGCGCTCGGTAATCTGCGGGAGCAGCACAATCCAAGAGTGCTTATTGGAGTCTTTTGTGTTTGATGTGCGCTGCGTTGCGACCTTGCGAATATACGCGCGCAGAAAATTTTGAAGAAATTGGAAATGGAATTTCAAGGACATGCTGTATACCTAAAGATTCGCCTTAACGAGCTGAACACAATACTGTTTTCGGATTTCGAAGATGTTCATTCTGAAGGAAGTTACGGCTAGTAGAACTTGGAACAGCTTGATTTTTTTAGAGTTTATCAGCTCTTCTATCTCTTTTAAAAGAGAGTCTTCGGCT